CATAATGACCCCGTCATATTGGAAGGACGCCCTAGATCGCGAGACGAAGAGAGCGTCTTTTACGAAAAGCGGGAAATTATTGAACGCACAGAGCCTATCGGTGCAATGACTTTATCACACTCTCATAGTCATCGTAAGGATGAACGCTCGATTCGAGCTGAAATCAAAGCTCTCGAGGCCGAGAAGGAAGCACTCAAAGCGGATCGACGGGCTAACCGAGAGTTGCGCCGCGCGGAGCGTCTTCGTCGTTCAGGAGCCCGACATAGCGACAGCCAGTTGGTACTTTATGAAGAGGAAATCCATGATGGTAGAGATGTGACCGTTGTGAGAAGGGAAAGAATTATAGAGCCTGAGGGAGGTGTTAGGATCGAAAAGGACCGAAAAGGTAGGATGAGCATCAGTGTTCCTAAAAATGCCTATCGTTAGGTGTCTTGCCTGAATGAGGTGGGTCACTTGAGATCGGGATGGGTGGTTTTTGTGAATGAGAGCTAACCCACTTGTTCTTCACAGCTCCTCCACCAAAATTGGTTAGAGCCATGTTGGCTACCTTGACTTAATTTCTGCCTTTGGAAAATAACACCTTTGCTTTATATCACGCATTTCGAGCGTTTATTGAGTCGAGATAGATTAATGAATGGCGTTGACACATAGTATCTTTTGGCTGGTTGGATGGAGCTTGTTAGTTTTCACGCAGGCAGAAATTGTGCTTTTTCTAATTTACTTTTTGAAGTCTTTTCACGGCATGCCCATGGCCATCTAGACTGTATCTGACATGGGAGGGATATTGGATATTGGATATGGAAATGGTTCATACGACGATGATATTTACAAACGCGATTTTACGTTTTTGGGTTTTTCTCTTCGTCCTTTTTTTTAGTCGGAAGATACATTAGTTAGGATACCTATCGATACGTACAGCTTTTGCAGTTCTTTCCTCTTTTCTCGCTCTCTCTCTCTCTCTCTCTCTTCTTTTTGGTGCCGAATACATCCGTATGCATTTTGCACGTTTTAATGAAGTTATGAAATATTTTTTTCTCTTCTTTTCCTTGGGTAATTGGTTTGGTAATTGGTGGATGGATAATTGGGGATAGATGGAGGGATGGATAGGTGGACGGGTGGGTGGCTATTTGGGAATGCTGTGATAGCATTCTAGCTGGTTGTTGAATGGATGCGTGGGTGGGTGGTTAGATGGAAAGTATGGAAAGTGAGGGGTGGAGGGATGGAGGGATATCTGAGCTAGACATAGGGAGATAGGATACAATATTATGATTATGAAAATGATGACTTGGATGCTTGGTGTGTTTGTGATGAGTTGGAGTGAGAATTAGCGTGAGGATTAGGGTGAGGACTAGCGAATTGTAGGAGAAGTGGGAGGATTAGGGTGAGGATTAGGGTGAGGACTAGCGAATTGTAGGAGATGTGGGAGGAGATTGTTTGGATATCTGATGGGTGGATGGTTTATGTGTGCTTGGTGAGTTGAGTCGGTGCGTAGGTATCTAGTGGGTAGATAGATATGTAAGGAGCCTTTTTTGCCTAGGTATGCTATGCTACGTTATGCTATGCTATGCTACGATGAAAGGAACCGCGAAATAAAATAAAACAAACCCCAGAAAAAGAGATGTATATCAGCCCGGAGAAAGCTCCTTCAGCTTTACCTACCTACCTGTCTATCTACCGACGAGCAGAGCCTCGGATAATACTAGGTAAGGTAGAAACGTGGAGATTATTCGAGACGTTGAGATTGTTTGGGTTATTCTCCAAGGGAAAATCCGATATTCACGTAGAGGAAGTGTAAATAAATTGATTGTAGGTAACTTTTCGGAAGTCTTTTTATGTAGGGTAGGGTATTAACTAAAATGCTCGTGCATCCATTACGAATCGTGTGGATATTTTCAATTTTAGAAAGTTCGAGTATTTTGGTCTTTGAGGGGCTTGGAAGACCCTGAAGATTAAGATTGTGAATACTTCGAGTAGGATGGCATCTACCTTTCTTGGTATCTACGGTATATGTATATATAAATCCCCCGGAATCATACGACTTTATTTAAACACCTTAAACGCCTCGCTATGCACTATTTCATGTCCCATCCCATCCTAATCCATCGTGATTCCTTTCCCTTGTGGCCAGTTTTCGTTTTCTATTGAAATCTGAAGTATTAGAGTGCGCCGTGTTGCTAAAGTGCGTCATCTCTGTTCCACTCGGTCGTCTTTGTGTGTATCCCACCGAGCTGCGTGGGATGCACCAAGCAGTCATCCATTAGCACGCACTGTTGATCGGAATGAATACCACAACATCCAAAACATTATCCTCTTTCTTCCCTATCCCTATCTTATTTTCTTCGCTTTGAAGTAATCTCTTAACTGCTCCACCCTCGTGACAAAGAACATCCTTTTTGCATCACTCTTCCAAACCAACACTCCCACCTCCTCAGCATATTTTGCACACCCTTCGTACTCCTTCTGCGTCTCAAAATCCTTCATTAAGAATCCGGGTACGGCTTTCATTCTCTCGTTTTCTAATTGCCAAAGACGAATTTGATCGACGACTGTAGGTGGTAGTACAGGTCCTCCATGGGATGCGGAAGAAGCTTTGACGAGTTGAGGATGCGCATGGGTGGATAGGTAGGTAATTATTTGGTCGGATGTGATGCCATGAGCTATAGCGGTACGGATAGAATCACGAGAGACGCGGCCACTGACCATGTTGGGATAGCGAGTGTTGAGTTTAGTGAAGAGTGAAAGGACAGCAATTTGGAGGGGTGAGTTTGTGTAAGCGTACAGGCGGTAGTTAGTCTCGATTATTATGAACCCCTTTTGGCTGGCGGCTGATTTGGAGGCAGCATCAAATCCTGCAGCCACAGTGCGGAGTGCACTGGCATCAGAGGTAAGAGTTGTGGCTAGACGTGTTGGAAAAAACTGAGTGGGGGCTGAAGGGGGAAGGTAGATTAATCCCAAGTCGATGAGGTTGGCGAGCATCCCTTGTTGGGCGCCCGTGAGAGTCTTAGTGCTGTATGCACGTCCGAGTTCGAGAGAGCCTAGCATGAAGAGAAAAGAAAGTACGTCGACGGAATCCATCCCCATACTTTCTGCATTTTCAATCCATAGAAGGAGCAGAGTCCAGACTTGCGCATTGGCTTCTTGCAATAGAAATGAGAATCCAGCTTGAGTGATACCGATACTTCGACCTCTTGTAACCAATTTTCCTGCATCAAGTAGTGCCTTTACTGAATTTGCTGGCCCATTTCCATCTTTTCCTGACCCGGACGTGACAGTGTTGACCATATAATGTAGAATCCCTTCCCATTGCATTCGAGCATGTGTATCCAAGAAATCAATATCGACATTTGGCACAATGTGATCCGACGAAGGAACTCCGAAAGATTGATGGTTTCCTCCACCTGTAAGTGCCAGTCGTAGAGATGCTCCAAAATTCTTAGTCAAAGCTACAGTTTGAGGATCTTCTCGGCTCAGCGCAGTGATATCGACAATATGCAGTCGCGATAATAAGGATAGGGCTTGATCTTTTTGCCTAGGACATTTTAGCATATGGCATCCATTTCAAGTCAGGATACATACTTCTTGCTCTTAGGTTGTACCCATTGATCCAGAGCTGTGAGGGGCAATGGCTTAGGCATATAGAGTAGTGCCATCACAAAGGTTTTGGCAAGATGAGGCAGCATGCGCCTGAAAATGGCCAAAGAGGTAGAAGGTTGCTGATACAATCGCCTGAACGTTGTACCTGGTAATCTCTCCAGGTACTCGAATGAAGCAAGAGTTGAGACAGACATATTGAAATGGTTATTGTCTATCGCCCGCAGATACTATGAATTCGTCATTGCTGGTAGGAAATTCAAGAAGTTCTGCAGCCTTGCAAGTAATGGGTAGCCTGGTGATGGAGAATTTTGAGCTTGGACCATGTCTTTGTCTTTCCCCTACGAATGAATTACGGTGAAGCACATTAGTTATTAGTATCAAGGCTGGAAATGCGGACGGTCCGATTGAATTGGAAATGAATCGTGCCAAATTTCACACAATGGCAATCTATGGGGGATCTTCCTCCGCTCTACCCAAATGTGCCTACGTATGAAGTTCTATCATATGCATGGGCCGAGAGTGATGAGAAGGGTATCTTGTATGTCATTCCTTTGTCATTATGTTTGTCATTTACATTTCCAAGTTGTGTGTTCATCTACACGGAGGTGGCATAGTGCTCGGCAAGTGCTGAATGATATCAAGCGTGGCTGCAGGGGTGGGTCGACTGCAACTGGCATACTAGGCCGGAGTATGTCTCTGGCTGGAAAGCAATGCAAGATATACTCGCTGGACCATATTCCACGCGATTCTGGATAGTCCAAGAAATGGTGTTATCTTCCAGTCGAAAAACTCTTGTAGGCCATCACGATGTAATGAATATTCTCCATCTAGTTTCTATCATTCAAAACTTTCCTCAGATTGAGAATCGGATTCCTGCCCAGTACCTCAGTGAACCAGACATCATACCGCGTATCTACCAGCTAAGCTTGGCCATACAGACATACCCGACTGTCTTGAAGTCGATGTATGTCGTTCCTGGCATCAATCGTGAGCTCAAGCTTGCAGGGGAGAATGTGCTCGATTTAGGATAGCTTCTCGCTAGATTTCGAGGCAAAAAGTCTACGTTACCAATGGATCAGACGTATAGTGTCTTGGGAATGACAATAGTCGCCAGCATTATATATAAAATGCCTTTTTGGAAATCCTGGGGTAGAATACGACCAACACAACGGCTTTCACGATTTAATCACAGGCAGTCGTTGAAGAAACTGTGTACCGACACTACGCAATATGTCCTAAGAGAGGATGGACATTTGGGAGCTCTGAGAATGATTGTTACGCATGCGAAGCCCACAAAAGACAAAGATTGACCGTCTTTGGTTCCGGATTTCTCATCCCCGTTGCCGGGACCAGGTGAGCCAGAAAGTATGCAATAGATTTCAGAGTCTTCAACATTTCCTCAAAACATGGATAAATTCCTCGTTGATAGAGGTACGTTGGTGGTCTACGGACATGTTTTTGGTGAGATTGAAGGGCTGGCTGGAATAATGCAAAGAAATGGGGAGTTCTCCAATAAGCCGGGTGACAGACAGAGTGAGTTGAAGAAGAGAAATTTGAGGTAGAGCAAATATAGGGATGGGTTCGGGTCTTCACCGTTGGCGGTTTCGAGGGATCGTGAGGGATGGTACGTATTTGCTGGGACGAGTATGAGGAAAGGAGACTTCGTAGTTCTAGTTGGTAGAGGGAAAGACCCATTAATTCTGCGAAGGCCGGAGCATGATGAGCAGCTAGGAGGTGGTAGCAGAAAGCAGAATACTGAGACGCCTATGTACCAATTAGTAGCAACAGCGAATGTACCAGATATTGGGGAGATCCAGAAGAAGCTTGTTTTGGGGGACATACAATGGGATGTTAAAGAATTGATTATAGAGAGAGGTAGGTCGGTTTTACGGATTGTTCTATATGATGATAGTCTCGCCTAGACTATCGAATTTCAAGCTACAAATGGACGATATGTTGACAACCAGACTCATCACATGTGAGCTTTGTATTTTGCACGCGTTGCTCCATTTAGAACAGAACTAACCAGGCTCATGATACGCAATATGGATTAATCAGGCAGTAGTGGAGCCATGGAAATATGACTGGAACTACTACAGCTACTGCAACCGCGACCACAAACACAACCACACACATAATGAGAGTCCAAACAGCTTTGGTGAAAACGAAGTCAGACGAACATGCATTACTGGTAAAAGAGCATGATCGCATGGTTCAAGAAACAGAATTATCAATTAATTTGATCGATTTGATGCTTGATGACACCAGTAGACAACACAGGAGGTCCAGGTATCTAGATTCTACAAATCTACCTGAGGGTTATTTTATACCTATCCAATGTTCGTTACCGGCCGATGCGGCCCCAGTAACTAACTTCAAATGGCGGGCGGCCTCGCTCACTGCGGCCTGAGAATCAGGCAAGGGTATTATCCCTGTTCAGCTAATCGCGGTGTCCTCATATATAATTACCGACATTTATGTAACTACAACACTTTCTTATTATATCGACAATCTATCCAGCTTGACCATACCATTAATTCTACAACATGGCTGCTCTAAGATTTGTGAGATCAGTGAGTTATCGACAGGCCACCAAAATATGCCGACGCTGACATCATTACCTTCACTCAATAGGTTCTGAAGTCTTTTCAAGAATCATCAGGACTTGAGCCGAGGTACTGTTTTTCATGTATTTTAAGTGTTGTTTTGTAAAGTACAGCTTCGATCTGTCGACGCAAGTGTTTATTCGGCTTTTCTTTCGAGCCTGAAGCTTTCAGCAAGTCTCTGAAAGCAATCTAGTCGTTATGGGTTGCCGTTCATTGGGCCCCGGTGCTTCTTGCGGCATGTAACAGCGTACCTCCTCTGTACTAGATCAGTCTGGAACATTTTTCACTGCTATTATGACGACAACTGTTTCCATAAAATATCGACTGACGTGTGACTATAGACTCTTTGGTGAAAATGTAGGAAGAGCATTTGCTATGTATTTTGCTGCGTATCATTTCCATTGACTTTGGAAAGCTTCGAGTTACAGGAGCCGAGCCAGGACGTGTAAATTTTGAGCTTGATATCAAGAAGGAGCACACCGTAAGGAAACCTTGCCAAATTTTATATGAGCAACTCGTTGAATTGTCTTGCGATAGAACCGTTTGAATATTATTCATGGAGGCACGATTGCCAGCATGGTAGACCTAGGTGGCTCACTAGCTGTTGCCTCGAGAGGACTTTATGCCACGGGTGTTTCTACTGATTTGAATGGTAAACGTTATGCGAACCAATTGTAATCTCATGTATCTGACCCAACTGCAGTTACATACCTCAACTCTGGCGGTAAGGTTGGAGATGTGCTGAAAGCGGTGGTGACTTGCGATAAATGTAAGTATTGTCTCATCGTTTTTCGGATATCATATTTCTAAAATAAGAGTAGTTGGGAAGACTTTAGCGTATACTTCTATCCAGTTCACAAATAGCAAGGGCGAATTGGCAGCACGTGGAAGCCATACAAAGTCAGTCTTTACCTCCAGTCTTTCGGATTTACAAGCTAAATTGGTTCATGATAGATACGTTGCACTCGCGTGGAAAGAACCCAAAAACATAGTTGAAGAACTACCACCTCGTCCTTAAAATGCACACGTGCTTCAGCCTTATGTGTACGACGTGGTCCATTCATTCTGGACTTTAAAGTCATCTCGTGGTCATGTCTAGGCAAATTTGGTAAGTGTCTTTCACAGGCAGAACATATCTTGACCTTGACCCGAGCATTCGGTGCCAAAATAATGGTCCAGATCACTAGACAGAATTGGACAATTTGTATTTAATTGTGGCTTTCTCCTGTTTTAGTCGGTGTATGCATTTTATTGATAAATGATTCGAGGTCGCTGTTTCTGCTGGGCGGTTTAGTTGCTAGGTGAATTACAGTGATTGATTGGTCACCAGAACATCGAACAAGTGCTAGTATGTGCCATTCAGTGTTAACCCCGCAACAACATTTAGTGCCAAGTCAAGCCTCGGAACAAGTTGGCGGGTATGAGGACTGGGACAAGTATTAAATGGGATGTTACACCACGTGTGGTCTAATCAATGATTGGATAAACAATGCTTCTTGGAGCGTGCTCGAAATAGCTATTCACTTGTGTCATCAACATTTTGATATCCCAGAATATCTGTAGCCCGCATTTCTGTTGGCAGTATTCAGCAGTGGCTTAAGCCGCAACGGTGCGTCTTCGGCGTTCAATGAACCAGGTAGTGACTAGAAAAGAGTCTGAGTGAAGCAATTGGTTTGTTTGATTAACCTTCTGATTTGCTATAGGCTCGATTTGGAAAACATGATGTGGGCGTTCAATGCTTTGAGTCGTCCTACCCACGACTCCCAGATTTGAACCCTTTGAAGTAAATTTGCTATACGACTCGCATAAGATGGATTGTGTGTTTAGGTGGTTCGTGTTTATGCAGAGGTAAACATGCCAAGCAAGCACTGCAAGGCTACGGGGATTGAATCCTTCGACGGATAATTTACCCCAGATTCTCCTCGAGGGTCCTATGAATGTTTTTGAATCTCTCGGAGTATGGGCGAATGCAGACAGATCATGCGCCTCGCCTTGAGCGTTTCACAATTAGAGCTAATCAACTCTACTCACATATTAGTAGCGTCTTTCAGTGAATTACCGATTTTCTAGGAGCATGGGTCTCTCATTCACCAAATTACCCCAACATCTAGCTTGAGAATTTGACACAGCACGTGTGGAAAGCAGATTCTTCAGTGAATACAGCAGTGGACTGATTAATGAAAACATATTACTTACTGCCCCGCCGTAGGTGGCTCGGCTCATTGCTACTTAAGTTTCCAACAGTCTAGATCAAGGATCCAACTTATAACCAACAATAACCTGAATACACCTTTTCGAATTTGACAATCTTTGCACTTTCATACCTTCAGAACTAATATCATCGAGGAGTCGTTCACTCAATCATAATGTGGTACACTACCAATGTCTACGTTATCTGCGCCTTCGCCGCAATAGGTAAGTCATTCTCTTCGTATCCAATGCAATAACAACGAGTAACATATATAGGCGGTGGTCTTTTCGGCTTCGATATCTCGAGTATGTCTGGCGTTCTTGGAACTCAAGCATACGTCAGATACTTCCATAATCCTCAATCTTACGGTCAAGGTGGAATTACATGTGCAATGCCCGCTGGATCTCTCATCGGTGCTTTAGCTTCCTCTTTCATTGCCGATAGATGGTCTAGACGAGCTAGCATTCAAATTGCGTCTATCTTTTGGATCATTGGCTCAATGTAAGTTTTGACCTCCAATTATTAGAACAAAACTAATGCTTTCCATAGTATTCAGTGTGCTTCAATCAATGTAGCTATGCTGGTTGTCGGTCGAGTCATCGCTGGTATCTGTGTTGGTATTGCTTCCGCTATCTGTCCTGTCTATCAATCAGAGATTGCTCCAAAGGAAATCAGAGGCCGAGTCGTCTCTCTCCAACAATGGGCAATTACATGGGGTATTCTTATTCAGTACTTCATCCAATACGGTGCTTCGACAATTGGAGGTGGTGCAGAAAATCCAGTAGGTACGACGTAACCATTATAGGAGCTAGCAAACTAATCAATATCTTCCACAGGACCAACCTAATTCTGCTTTCCGAATCCCCTGGGGTATACAAATCGTTCCGGCAGTTATCTTGTTCTTCGGTATGTTCTTCTTGCCACGATCTCCTAGATGGTTGGCCTCCAAGGATAGATGGGAGGAAGCCATCAAGGTTATTGCAGACCTTCATGGCGGTGGTGATGTGAACCACCCAAAGGTTCTCGCAGAATATCAAGAAATTGAGGAGGCACTCCGATTCGAACGTGAAGAAGCTGTCAGCTCTTACAAGCAACTTGTGGCCCCACGTATGATCAAGCGTGTTGTTTTAGGAATGTCCATTCAGATGTGGTCTCAACTCTGTGGCATGAATATCATGATGTACTACGTCGTTTGTAAGTACTTTTTCTCGGCTTTAGTAGGGTATGTCACTAATGATTCTTTTAGATATCATGCAAGGAGCAAACATTGCAAACCCACTTATTACCGCCTCGATCCAATACATCCTCAATGTGTTGTTGACCTTACCTGCTATCATCTATCTTGATCGTTTCGGACGTCGCCCAGCTATGCTCATCGGTTCCTTCCTCATGATGACCTTCCTTTTCATTGCTGGTGGACTTCAAGCAGGCTACGGTGAACCCAACAACACATCGAAGACTCAAACTGAACAGAATAAAAACCTGACATGGGTTGTTCACGATAAGAAGGGTGTATCATCTGCCATCGTTGCTATGACATATCTATTTGTTTGTGCATTTGCAACAACCTGGGGACCTTCATCATGGACCTACCCAGCCGAAATCTTCCCAAATAAGATTCGTGCAAAGGCTGTTTCTCTCGCAACCTCAGCAAATTGGTTCTGGAACTGTGTTCTTGCTTTTGCTGTCCCGCCATTGTTGAAGAACATCAACTGGAAGATGTACATGATCTTCGCCACGTTCAACGCACTTGCTTTCATCCATATTTTCCTTACAGCTCCCGAGACTAAGGGCAAAACACTCGAGGAGATGGATGAAGTTTTTAACAGGTATGTGCTCTCTTTCTTTGCAATGCGGTCTCTACTTTTCCCTGTTTCTCAGAACATCTTCTGTTCATGAACAAAGATACTAACTCTTCAATCTCAATACAGTGGTCTCCATCCATGGCAAAAACTTCCCGAGGGATCCAGACTAGACAGATTAGCGGCGGATATCGAAGCAGGTGCAGTCAAGGTCGCTGCCCCCGTCGGTGGCGTTGGTGGTGTCCCTGGCGAGAAGCGCACCCATCATAATGATGGCGTAGTTACTCCAGAGAGCGCTCGTCATCGTGATGGTATCACCGATGCACGACAAGATCAACATCATGGTCTTCATGATGAGAAGGCAGCTGTTGGTCGTGAGCGTGGTACAGTGGTCTAATCGTGTGGTTATTCTTCGCGATACATATAGTGATGGATGCATCTCTTTGCTTCTCTCAAGCACTCAATGAAGGGCCATTGATAATTAATAATACAATCTTCTATAAGAAGATGTTCTGTTCTTTGAGCAAGGTCTAACACCTTAGCCGAGATTTATGGGCTGTAGCAAGATCTTAGGCGTAAATCTAGCGCGGAAATCGATTAATTCATTGGTTTCCAGTTGACTATCATGCACTCAAGAATTGGGAACGCGATTATGCATGTTCATAGATGATCCAAGGCTTGAGACTTCTTGAATGGTGATTTAGATTATTGTGTGCTCTGTTATTGCGAGCAGTAAACGATCATTAGATGAACTCTTACGAGAAAAGTAGAATTTCGAGAGCACGATTCAGAGCTCGATCTGAAGCTTATGTCCAAGAAAATATAGGGAATTAGCGCTTAGAACTCATGTGAAGTCAAATTGTTCTAATGATGGCTAGGTATATATAGCTCTCTGACACGCAAAGCTGTATTTGACCATTCATTAACCAAGTCTGATTTCTTTGATGGGAGGGTGCTAATCACGTGATATTAGAGCTAAAAAGTCGTCAACGTCATGGCTGTTTAGCTTCGATCCGACATACCTCATTCAGATACCTACAACCATGGAGAAGGCTAAAAGCTATAAGCCATCGATTAAGCGCATGCCGTATCTAATTCATTCCATAGACGCGACAGACGTGAGCTCCCAATGAATATGTATCTTTTCGATGTAGGTAGTTTTTTTTTTCATCCATTGTTTCTTATTTTTGAACTTCGACATTGAATGTTTACTTCCCGTTCTTTTCACTTGTGCTCCGGCAGATATCTTACACAGCTGTCGCTTCACAGTGCTGGGATTGGCAGTGCGCGCAAAATTTCCCCCTTGCGCCAAAGCAATTCTCAATTTAGAGGCCTAAAAATGGCACCTAAACGAAAGAGATCAGCAGCTGCTGCGACTCCCTTGACTGATGCCGCTTCAACTCCAATTCTTCCTTCGACTCAGTCTACTTTTATTAAACCACCTGCCAGACCTTCGCGGCAGTCTTCACGCAGGGGCAAACCTGACACCAACCCCGAGCACAATGCAGATATTGTAGATAGCAAAACAGCACTTCGTGCAAGCCCAGATGCTGACGAACCTGGGGAGTCGTTCGATCTTAAGAAAATCGAGGTCCCCATAACTCCCGCAAAGGACAATGGTGTAACTGTTCCTGTCAAGAATGAGGAAGACGATTCGCCCCTCTCAGATATTGGTGATGATATTCCAGTACCCACACCTGCTAAGAAACAGAAGAAAGCCCCGACCAAAAGCTCAATTGCTGCAAAGAAAGGGTCAGATGAGATAAAAGCATTTGTAGCAGAACAGGCAGCTAAAAAGGCTGCGGAGAAGAAAATTAAAAAGGAGGATGACGAAGACGAATGGGATAAGAGGCTGGATCCTGACGGAGACGAAGATGGGCAGGCAGAGGATTCTGATGCTATAAAGTTGGAGGCGAGAAGACCGCCCCCTATTAATAGTGACTATCTGCCTCTGCCGTGGAAAGGAAGATTAGGATATGTAAGTTTTTCTGTCGCAACTCATGTTCGAGATGCTGATATTAGAATCTAGGCATGTCTGAATACCTACCTCAGATCCTCAGATCCTCCTGTTTTTACATCTCGAACCTGTCGTATGGCTTCTATCGTCGAACATCGACATCCTTTGAAAGACCCTTCACAGCCTGAGCATGCAACCAAGAATCGACCAGATAAATCGAAGCCAGCTTCTATCGAGCGAGGACAACGATATGTTGAAGAATTGTGCCTAGCAAACGTTCGAGACCTACCAAAAATGCTACGATGGAATGATAAATATGGTATCAAATTCATGAGACTAAGTTCGGAAATGTTTCCATTCGCTAGTCATGCCGAATATGGCTATAGCCTTGCCCCGTTCGCCAGCGAAGCTCTTGCGGAGGTGGGGAAAGTGGTAGCTGAATTGGGACATCGAGTTAGCTCACATCCTGGACAAGTAAGTTGCATTTTGATTCATCTCGAAAGCTAAAAGCTAATAAGTTGTTTGCAGTTCACCCAATTAGGCTCTCCCCGTCCAGAGGTTATTGCAAATGCATTTCGAGACCTTGAGTATCATGATGAACTGTTCCGACTCCTGAAATTGCCACCACAAATCGACCGAGATGCAGTTTTAATCTTACACATGGGAGGTACATTTGGCGACAAAGCAGCCACTCTCGATCGCTTCCGTGAAAATTACGCCAAGCTTTCACCTTCCATTAAACAACGACTCGTCTTGGAGAACGATGATGTATCATGGACTGTTCACGACCTCCTTCCAATATGTGAAGAGCTCAACATTCCTCTATGTCTTGATTTTCACCACCATAACATAATGTTCGATTCCAGTCAAATTCGTGAAGGTACTAAGGACATTATGGAGCTTTTTCCTAGAATCAAGGCTGGATGGACGAAGAAAGGTATCACACAGAAAATGCATTACAGCGAACAGACGCCCCAAGCCGTTACAGGTCGTCAAAGACGAAAGCATAATCCTAGACCTGCAACACTTCCACCCTGCGCTAATGATATGGACTTGATGATCGAAGCAAAAGACAAAGAGCAAGCTGTGTTTGAACTCATGAGGACATTTAAACTACCGGGATACGATAAGTTCAATGATGTTGTTCCTTACGAAAGAGATGATGATAATCGCGCCTTACCTAAGAAGCTCAAGAAGAAGAAGACCAAGAAGCAGATCGCAGATGAGATTGAAGAATTTGGTCACGAGGTCGAAGAAGAAGAGGAAGCAAGCAAAGAGATAATACCAGAAGAAGAAGTTGGCATGGGAGGAAATGATAATCGTGTGTACTGGCCAGTCGGTATGGAAGAATGGTTGCGACCAAAGAAGCGAGAAATCAAGAAGAAGAATTCTGAAGGGTCCAAAGAAGAAGATGAGATGTTTAAGAACCCTACGCCCGCAAATTTTGAGGCAAGGAAGAAAATAACCGAGAGGAAAAAGATGCCTTTTGATGAAGGGGTTAAGGCGAAACTAGCGAAGGCGGAATGTCTGAATGATGTGTACGAAGTGGTAGAATTGGTCAAAACTTCGCAATCTAAAGTCGATGAGAGATCAGAAGCCAATGGGTTTGCGGCGGGGCCTGGTTCATCTAAAAAGAGTACGCCTGCTAAGAAGAAGCCTGCGCCTGCGCCAGCGAAGAAGAGAAATGCGAAGAAAGTGCAGACACCTAGTGCTAGCGTCTCGAATGAAGATGAGGACGAGGACGAGGATAACGATTTGAGTATGCCTGATTTATCGGCTGATGATGAATTGGCGAAACCGACCACGAAAGCTAAGCCGGCTAGACAAAGTGGAAGAGCTGCGGCAAAGAAAAAGAGTTATGTTGAGGTTGATGGGGATGAGGAGTAGTGTGTGTGTATATCTATAGATCTTGGAGTACGGATACATCTGTTTATCATGTTATGTTCATCTTGTATATTATCAAACTTCTATTAAAGTATTAAATTATGTGATTCTGGAGTTTATGGTCAAATCCAAGTCAATCACTCTTCGTCATTATGATTCTAAATTCACGGTGCCAAGATCTTCCTTGTTTTCTGAATATGTATACAAAGAGACGACTGGAGATGAGATAGTACTCGGCCTTGTGGCATTTTCATTCCGACCATTACAATTCGACTAAAGTACATTATTTCTCTCGCATTGAATATCTGTAAATGCTCCCTGCTGGCACCTTTGGACGATACTGGAGGTATCTTACAATATCATCTATGCCATCTAAAGCTCCGGGCTGATATCCTCTACCGGCAATAACAAACATTCATACGATGAATAACACTGATTGTCGATTCTGTAAGGTGGTATACGGGGAAGTATACACTATGTGACAGAGAGTTAGTGTTATCAGGGTCCTTTTTACCTTGAAAATATTCTTATAGATCTCAGGAAGATCGCTGCATCTATGCAACAGAACTCCTCTGGTGAGTACGGGAGGGGTTCAATCTATATCATTGACTCCAACACTCGCGAATACTCATTTGAGGATTTCACGTGAATGTGGTCGATGCTGAGTGTGGATTATTTGGATGGATGGGTGGTATAGAGAGAAGTAAGTGGCAGGATTGAAAAATACATTTAGCTTCACCAGGGCTTTGGATCGAAAGATGCTGAAGGATCCATAGGTCAGATGTGTAACAGACCCTTATGTGGGCGGTATCTATTCACCTGTTGTGTACATCTTGACTTTGAATTTTTGTAGTTTTGTTGGGAGATAGGGTTTGGTAATGAGGATGTGAATCATATTTTGTTTTTTGTTGATGAATAGAGGGTACAGAAGTCCAACAATCTAGAAATCTGTAAGTACCATCAACAATTTTCCCACGGACGCTCTGATGGTGAACTTGGAAGTTCTAGCTACTGTAGATGATGGCCCCATAATGCGATGCATAAAGTAAGTGAATCCGCTACCCCGCTCCATTCAAAGGCATGTTGATATCTACTTGCTCTATATACCCACTTCAAGTTAGCTAGGATATTCACTCTACAAGAACCTTCAAGTGACATTATTCATCACAACGAATGAACTCGGTAGATCGGAGCGTCCATTCCACTATCTCTTTATATGAACCTTTCTGCATCCCAACGACTCGAAGTCATCAAACACCCGCGGGTGCTCTAGAGCACTTGACATGGCTTGGGAAAGTAACGTGCGTGGTCCACGAGTTATACTAGCAGTTGGGTAGGTAGTCATTGTAGGTATATGCATACACGTCCACTGCGGGAAGTTTTCTCCCATTAATATCATCACTCAAGGTTTTGAGAACTTTGATTGCCATCCAAAATAATCACTGATGTTAAAATTGTCGTCAACTATACATATGCCAGCTCTTAAAAAATGACAATGATACGATCGCTCGCAGAAACGCTCGTTACTTTTAGCGATATCGTCGATAGTCAAAACAAATTGTAGCTACAGAACTTCATGTCCACCGTCGCTATGGTTTGAAAAGACAGCAACATGAAGAACAAGATGAATGGAACTTAGGCCAATCTCATCACCAAAATTTTCGTCTATAATCTCAAGCACTCACTTAAATGTTTAGTGATCTGTCACTCATCCGATCTAGGTAGACGACGATAC